AACACTCAACAAAATAGAAATAGAAAGGAAATTCCCCAACATAATTCAGGTTACATATGCAAAACCAACAGCCAACGTTGCTCTGAATAGAGAGAAACTGAAAGCATTCCCCTTTCGAACAGGAACCAGACAAAGACAACCTTTACCTCCACGACTATTCAATATTGTGCTGGAAGTCTTAGCCAGAATTATAAGGCTATAAAGGGAATTTAAAGATATCCAAATTGGTAAAGTAAAACTCTCTATATCTGTAGATCATATGATCCTACACATGGAAAATCCCAAAGATTCAGTGAGAAAAGTATTGGAGCTCACTGAAAGATTCAACAAAGTGGCTGTGATCAACACCTGAAAATCAGTTGCATTCTGTGGTGTCTTAAATTTTTCTATCTTAATACCCACCAAGTGATTGGGTGGAACTCTACAAATTAGTTATACAGGACTCTAAGGCTGGAATTAGTTAGTTTTGTCCTCCAGCTAGGTGTAAAAGGAGCCATCTCAGAAGCAGAGATAGAAGATCCCAGGACCATCAAGAAAAAAGAACGTGAGTGAAGCATGAGAAACAATGGCAGAGGTATGGCAGAAGCAATGACAGAGGAGGTGGTACGGAGAGACAGAACAGTTTGGGGCTTTAGGCCCATGGACTGAGTAAAGCTGAGTACCTACTTGCAGGAGACTGGCTTGCACAATGTGCCCTTTGGGAATTCGCAGACTAGCTAAAAGAACTTTGTAACACTTGTCTGAGCCATGCGGAGGCCAAGGGAACACATGGCTGAGAGAGAGCGAAGACAAGAATCAGATATGCCTGCAGTATGGTAGACAAGAAGCATTCCTGATTACAGAACTGCTGCATCCCAAGTTGGTTTTGATTCTGAATTGTACCCTGTTCACTTCCCAAATAAACCACATAATATTGAATACTGTTAAGCTCTGTGTGGTCATTGCAATAGACTGTCAAGCTCATTTGTGAAACAGAGAGTGCTAGGGGAGGAATAGTTGGTGTCAGAATAGGATAAAGAAGATTGTAGGATGGAAGAATGTCAGACCTCCACTTCATAAGATTCAGGTTTGGTTGATTTTGAGTTTGATTCTCTTTCCCCCTTGTGAAGCCAGGGAAAGTCAGACATGGTCCCCACATGGGTTTTGCACATTCCTTTACATTAATAAAGTGAACTATGGCAAGCAAATCAGGAAAACAATAACATTTACAATGTTGTTGTTGTTAAGTGCCATTGGATCAGTTCCTACTCATAGCAACCCTGTATTGGGTATCCAAGGACTGGCTGATGAGTTTGAACCGCTGATCTTGTGGTTCAACCCAACCTCGTGGTTCACTGCTATATCCCACAGCATAATACCAGGCTCCATCATTTACAATAGATACCCAAAAGATGAAATGCTTAAGAATAAATTTAACCAGAGTCACAAAAGAAGTATACATAGACAGCTACAAAACACTACTACAAGAAACCTAAAGAGACCTACAAACATGGAAGAATACAACATGTTCATCGACAGTAAGACTTATCATTGTGAAAATGTCAACAGTTTTGTAGGCAATCTATAGACATAAGGCAATCCCAATCCAAAATTCCAACATTGGTCTTTAAAGGAATGGATAAATTAATTACTAGCTTTATATGCAAAGGAAAGAGACCCCAGATAGCAAAAATTATAAAAAAGAACAATAAAGAAGGAGCTCTCTCATGTCTCCATCTCAAACCTACTACACAACCACAGTAGTCAAAATGATCTCATATTTATACAATGAAAAGCACATAGATCAGTGGAACAGAATTGAGAATTCAGAAGTAAATCCATCCCCCTATGGCCAGTTGATTTTTGACAAAGGGCTGAAATACCTCAAATGGTGAAGAGATAATCTCTTCAGCAAATGGTGCAGACAAAACTGAAAATCCATTTTCAGAAGAATGAAAAAAGACCCATATCTCACACCATATAAAAAATGATTTCAACATGATTAAAGACCTAAATGTAAAATCTAGAACTATATGATCATCATTGAAAAAAGAGGTACAAACTTAGGGGTTCTGGCATTAATACACTATCAAACATAACTGATGAAACACAAACAGCAGAAGATAAAATAGATGATTTGGACCTCCTAAAATTAGACACTTATGTGCATCAAAAAATGTCACCAGAAGAGTAAAAAGAGAACTCACAGACTGGGAATTTTTTTTTTTTTAAATGACATATTAGACAAAAGACTTGTTGTTAAATGCCATCAAGTTAATTCTGACTCATAGTGATCCTACATAGGGTTTCCAAGGAGCAGCTGGTGAGTTGAACTGCTAACCTTTTGGTTAGCAGTTCAGTACTTATCCTACAGAGCCACACCAGGGCACTTCTTCAACACCTCAACAAGAAAACAATCCAGTTAAAAAATGGACAGAGGAGATGAACAGATACTTCATTAAAGAAGTCATTCAGGCAGCCCACAAACATATGAAGAAATGCTCAAGATCATTAGCTAGTTCCAACTCATAGGGACTCTGTAGAGGATTTCTGAGCCTATCTTTATCAGAGCAGAAAACCTCATCTTTCTCCCATGAAGCAGTAGACTCAAACTGCTGCTTTTGTAGTTAGCAGCCCAACACGGAACCCACAATGCTAACAGGACTCCTCATGGACTACTGTTGTTTGTTGTAGGTGCCGCTGAGTTAAATCCTATTCATAGTGACCCTGTATAGGGTGGATTTGAACTGCTGACCTTGTGGTTCACAGTTCAGTGCTTCAAACAACAATGGGATATCATCTTACGCCAGCATTGATAAGAAAGTTCAAAAGAGCAGAAAACAATAAATGCTGACAAGGGTGTGGCGAGACTGGGACCCTCTTCCATTTCTGGTGGAGCTTTAAAATGGCATGACTACTGTGGAAAACAGTATGGCGCTCCCTCAGAAAGTTGGAAACAGAAATACCACAGGACCCAGCAATCCCTCTATTTGGTATATATCCTTAAGAAATAAGAGCTGTGACATGAGAAGTTATATGCATACCCATGTTCATTGCAGCACTAAGATGGAGATAGCCTAAATGCTCATCAACAGAAGAATAGATAAACAAACTCTGGTATATACACACAATGGAATGTAACATTTTTAGAATAATGATGAATTTGTGAAACACCTTGTAATTCAGATGAACCTGGTGAACATTATGCTAAGTGACATTGTTGTTGTTGTTGTTGTTATGTGCCATCGAGTCGGTTCCGACCCATAGCGACCCTGTATAGGGTTTCCGAGGGTGTAAATCTTTACGGGAGTAGAAAGCCTCATCTTTCTCCCGCGGAGCAGCTGGTAGTTTCGAACCGCTGACCTTAAGGTTCGCAGCCTGATTCGTAACCACTACGCTACCAGATTAGTTAATCACAATTATTGTATTAGACTACTGTTGTAAACAATTAAGAAAATATTCTATGAGTGAGAGGGAATGGAAAATTATTCATGGTATAGAGGCTAGACATATGTTAACTTGGGTAATAGGGAAGATGATATATAACATGTTGTTGTTGTTAAGTGCTGTTGAGTTGGTTACGACCCATAGCGACCCTGAACAGGGTTTCCGAGGCTGTAAATCTTTACGGGAGCAGAAAGCCTCATCTTTCTCCTGCGGAGCAGCTGGTAGTTTTCGAACTGCTGACCTTACGATTCACAACCCGGTTCATAACCACTATGCTAATATACAACATGAGGGGAAAAAAATGAAAACACAGGGAGGAGTATAAGAGTTAAAGTCAATAGAGGTGAATACTGTTAGCTGATGGTACATGGAAGGGATTGCAATCGTTGTAATGACACAAAGGGCATGATTTGTTGAACACAGGACTGATGATTTGTTCTGTAAACTACTTAATTCACAATAAAAAAAACACCAGTGTAAAATGTTCCAAGCTAAGAATTTGTATGACAAAACACCAGTGTAAAATGTTCCAAGCTAAGAATTTGTATGACAAAACACCAGTGTGAAATGTTCCAAGCTAAGAATTTATATATCTAAATACAAATAAGACAATACTTTAGTTAACCATAATTTTCATGTACTCTACCCTATCAGAGAAAAAGGGAAAAGTGCTAGAAAGCACATTTACAGCAGTGACTTAAAGATGCTTTGAGGGCATAGTCAGGAGTCGTCATTTATTTGACTCAATTTCCTGTTGGTTTATTTACAGCCAACACCCAGCATTTTGCATATTACCTCTCTGCTCTTTGGATCAATCAACTACTGCCTCTTAAACTCTGTTGCCAACATGATTGATATACAATACTTTGCATATAGCATGTCTTAATAGATGGGAGATTCAATTTCCTGTTTCCTTAACTCCTAATACTAAAGTGTTTATGATTATTGTTTGTAATAAAGGAGGTACATGAGCTGATAGTTGTGAAACAGATGGAATTTCTAATTGACTCAGTTATCAAGACTCAGATTTGAGCAATCGTAATAACAGGTACCATTGACTGAGCACTTACCATGTTTTAGGCCCTGTACTAAGCACTTTATATTGTTTATCACTTAATTTTCAGAGTAACTTTACAAAGTCAGTGAGTTTTTGATGGCAGAGCTGGGATTTGAACCCAGCATAGTCTGGGAAAACTAGGGATTTTACTACAAGATACAAAATTCAGACTATGCTGAAGCTCCCAGAGCAATGCCAGGAGCTCTTGAATGAATTCTCTACTCTAGAGCCCATTTTTGTTGCAGAGGTTATGGAGGGCATTTACTAAGAACACTTTATCCTTCCACAACACATAAAGGCACATTCGATTTCCTTCCCAACTGCAAAAATGAGGCTAATCTCTTTGGGTTGGTTTGAGGCTTATCTAAATGGGAGTAGTAGATTAAGGGTACTGCCAATGTCCTGCAATTCTGTGGTGCTGTGGAAAGAGTGGTCTGTTCCACAAGTCATAAGAGTGATTGAGCATACACCTGATTTCTGACCATTTTTTGCTTAAATTCTGTTTGTGTTTTTATAGCAAAAAGCCCCACTGGCTAATGAGTTACAAGATTCTGCCGTGACAACACGAATAGCTGTCTACATCGGCGTAGGGATCTCTGCTGGATTGGCTCTTGCTCTCATATTTGGTGTTTTAATTCTCAAATGTAAGTTGTTTGACATTGGTTCTCTCTTCCTGTGGTAACCAATGGAAACATACATAGAAATAGACGTAAATGTCTTTGAACTAAGTACTCTTCAGGTTTCTGCATAAGTTTCCTAGTGATGCTGGAACAAAGTACCACTAATTGGTGGGTAAAAACAAAAAATATTTATTCTTCCACAATTTTGGAGGCTAGAAGTCTGAAATCAAGGTGTTGGCAGGGCTGTCCATCTTTTTACTGAAGTATCTAGGGGAAAATTCTTCCTTGCCTCCTCCTAACTTCTGGGTGGCTCCTTGAAATCCTTATCATTCTTCCCTCTGTTTCTTCTCTTTTGATAATGATTAGGGCTCACCCTACTTCAATACAACCTTCAATGACATCATCAAGAACCTTATTTCCAAAAAAGGCCACATTTATAGGTACTGTGGCTTGGTGTGGGAGGTGGGGAGTTAAGATTTCTTCTTTTAGTGAGGGGGTGCACAATTTAATCCTACCTGTACCTCAGGAAAAGCTGCTTAGAGAAGGGTAGCAAGTCCCTTTAACACTGGGTTATTGCCAGAGTTACAGTGTTGATATTCTCATTCATAATGGCAGTCAGTTCAACACACAGCCTGTTTTCTAAGGTGCTTATTTCTATAAAAACAAAGACACAAAAATTACTCAAGTATGGTGTTGGTTATGGTTGTATGCCTTTGAGTCAGTTCCAAATAGTAGCAACCCTGTATATGGTTTCTGAGGCTGTAAATCATTGAAGGAACAGAAAGCCTCATTTTTCTCCTGAGGAGCAACTGCTAACTTTGTGGTTAGCAGTCCAGCTCATAATCCACTAGCCTACCAGGGTTCCCTACTTAAATATAGTCTATGTGTAATAAACTTTTGGTTAAAAAATATATTAGCTCCCTATGGAGGAAAACTGTCCACTCTTACTGTGGCCTGAAGCAGTCAAGTGCTTCCTGAGCAGTATCTCATTAATTCCTAGTAACTACCATCTAAGCTTGGTAAGGAAGAGGGTCAGTGAAAAAGAGGAAGATCCCCAATGAGATGGATTGGCACAGTGGCAGCAGCAATGGGCTCAAGCATGATAACTGTGAGGATGGCGCGGGACCAGGCAGTATTCGTTTTGTTGTAGGGCCGACTCCACAGCACATAACAACAACAACAACCCTATAATGAGTGAACTGTTCTCCTTTCCCTCACACCCTTTGCAACCATCAAAAAGTATTCCGTTTTTCTTTCAAGCTCTTATATATTTATGGGATACAAAAATATATATGTCTCACTTTTCTTCGGTTACGTATTCAGCCTTTTTCAATCCATGTATCCATGCCCAGAACACTGTTGTTCTAGGGTTGTGTATAAATCACTATTTCTATCACAGCCCATGCATACTTTCCGGTGTCTTCAGCTATCTTTATTATTCTTCTGCCACCTTCCCTTTTCCTGTATATTTCCCTCCCCCTTCTTATATATTTCCCTTCCCATCACCCAAGCTAACATGTGTCTACCCTCTAGCCTGTGAATTGCTCCCTTCTCCCTTCCACCCCTGGTAACCATCAAACATTGTTTCTTTTAGTGTGGAAACCTTTTATTAAGCTTCTAAAATAATGGTCTCATAGAGTACTGGTCCTTTTCTGATTGACTATTACACTCAGCATAATATCCACCAGGTTTATCCAAGTTATGAGGTGTTTCATCGTTATTCTTCACTGTTGTCTGGTATTCCATTGTGAGCATGTACCAAAGTTTGTTTATCTATTCTTACGTTTGGGAGCACTTAGGTTGTCTCCATCTTTTTGCTATTGTGAATAGTGTTGCCATGAACATTGGTGTGCATATATCTGCTTGTGTCCTGGCTCTTATTTCTTGTGGATATATACCAAGTAGAAGGATTCCTGGGTCATAAGATATTTCTATTTCCAATTTTCTGAGGAACTTCCAAACCATTCTTCAGAGTGATGGAGCCATTTTACAGTCCCACCAGCAATGTAGGAGGGTCCAATCTTACCACACACTCACCAGCATTTGGTGTTTTCTGTTTTTGTTTATTTTTTAACTTCGCTGCTAATGTGAGTATGAGATGGCATCTCATTGCTGTTTTGATTTGCATCTCTCTAATAGATAATGGTTATGAGCATTTCTTCATATATTTGTTTTGCCTGAATGAAGTGTCTATTCATGTCCTGTGTCCATTTTTTAATTTAATGGTTTTTTTTTTCTTGTAAAGATGTAATTTTCTACAGATTTTAGATATTTGTCCCTTGTCTGATATGCCATTGCAAAAAAAAATTTCCCAAGCTTTGGGCTCCCAATTTACCCTTTTATTAAAATCTTTTGATGCACATAAATTTCTAATTTTTAGGAAGTTCCAGTCATCTATTTTGTCTTCTACTGCCTATGCATTTTTTGTAATATTTGATAGTTAGTGTATGTATGCCATGTAATAGAGCCTCTAAGTTTGTCCCTAGTGTTTCATTGATAATCTTTATAGTTCTAGGGTTTATATTTAGATCTTTAGTCCATTTTTAGTTTGTTTTTGTATATTTATGTGAGAAATCAGTCATATTTCATTTTTATGCAAATGGAGTTCCAGTTTTGCCAGCACCATTTATTGAAAAGACTATCTCTTCACCCACTTAATGCGTTTTCACCCTTTGTCAAAGATCAGTTGACTGTATGAAGATGGATTTACTTCTGGGTTCTCAATTCTATTCCATTGATCTATGTATCTTTCATTGTACCAGTACCAGGCTGTTTTGACCACTGTGACTGTGTAGTAATTTTTGAGATCAGGGAGTGACAGGCCTCCAACTTTGTTCTTCTTCTTAAGCAGTGTTGCTTATCCAAAGTCTCTTTCCTCTCCATATAAAGTTTCCATCTCTTTAAGGAATGATGTTGAAATCTGGATTGGAATTATGTTATATCTATAGATTGCTTTGGTAGTATTGATATTTTCATAATGTTAAGTCTTCCTATCCACGAGCATAGTTTATTCTTCCAATTTTGTAAATCTCTTTTGTTTTCTTGTAATAGTGTTTTATATTTTTCTTTGCATAGGTATTGTGTTTCTCCAATTAGATTTATTCCTAAGTATTTCATCTTTTGTGTGGCTATTGTAAATGGTATTTTTTCCTAATTTCCTTGTTAGAGCTACCTTTATTTGTATAGAGGAATTCAACTGACTTTTGTATATTGAGCTTATACCCCACCACTTTGCTGAATCTTTCAATGAGTTCTAATAATTTTCTTTCTGTGTCTTTGGTATTTTCTATGTATAAGATCATATCATCTGTAAATAGAAAATGTTTTATTCCTTCTTTGC